ATGTGGTTGAATAATTTCGACCACTCGACCATTAATGCTCCCTTCTCGATAGAGGATTGCTCCTTACTGAAGAGCTGCAATAAGCCAATAAGTTGAAGTTATATGGTGGAAAAGTTTTTCGGACGCGTTCGTGACTCGTTTATCTATGTCACAGATTACTACGGTATTGTTTTATTCGTAACTTTACGCCCAGACTCCTTTAGTTTTATATCTGTCTTGTCACTTGATTTGTAATTGTTATTAGTAACACATGACAAGTGCCACCTGGAACAGTTATTTTATGTCAGTGAATGAAGTCACGACTACAGGTTTAAAAAGTCTAGAAAGCTTTACATGGTCTAGGGTCATCGGCACCGATTTACGTTTCGTATCGCCAACCAAGTAAGGAGGGTCTGAATAGGGGTCTTTCTTTTTTTATTCTTTAATTTTTAGACCATTTTTCTCTATTCTTTATTTATTTTGTCCATTGTTCTATATCCTTAAAAGTTTATAATTTAGAAACAGATTATTCTCTATTCTTTATTTTTTTTTTACCTATTTTTAATTTTGTTTGCCTTTTACTCTTCTCTTTTTCTTCCATTATTCTCTATTCTGTAAACCCAATCCAGACCCTATTCAGAGTGCTGACACGAAATATTAAATATCATTGATACGGTCATTGTCTATAAATTATTTTACTGTTGATAAAATGTAGCATTATTAGACCCAAGGCGTGGATTGCCGAAACCAGATTTGGAATTGTTGGGTTTTAATGCGGATCAACTTCAAATTTGATTTGGCTCTTCTTTTTGTTTTAACGAGATGCTGAAAACTCTATTAAAACATTTTTATAATGTATTTGCTTCTTGTTTTATGTCGTGTTTAAATTTCCTTTTTTGATTTGTTTGATTGTGTGTATCTCTTCATCTAAAACTAAATACTTTTCTCCTCAAGCAGGAAAAAAAGGCATCGTCACAAAAATCAATATTCACTGTGTCTATCTTCCTCAGCAGCACCATAATTCAGCTCCAGTTCCTGTTGCTCAATCGTTTTAGTGTGTACTGCTTAGTCGACTGGTGTTGTATCTTTTCGTTTTTCTCTTTCAATTATGGCAGTTTTTGGTCATTTTTCTATTGATAATTTGCGTTTTCCCTTATAATAAATCAGGGACCAGTAACATTAAACGTCAGAAAAAGGCTCGTTAGTCATATTCTACGCTAGCACAAAGAGTGCGATAAGAATACAAAAATGAATGTCTGACACAAATCCGAAAAGCGTAGACTAGTTTCAACTCCTCACTGTTGCGCAGATGATTAAATGTAAAATCATTCTGTTTATCGGTATTGCAAACATGTTTGGCGAAAAAAATGTAAGTTCATTCAACAAATTGAAATATACAGAGTTATCTACAAGCAGAAAGTAAATATCTGACAGATCAGAAAAATACTCGCACGTTACAATTAGTCATTGTCAAGCTACTAAATATTTATTAAAAATTGAATACTTAATATAGAAGTTTCCAAATATGAATACTTTTTTAGTACTTTTTGAGAAAAAAGAGACGAAAATAACGACGAACACGCTGAATGCAAATAAACTCATCATATATACAAGGATTGACATTTTGAACCCCAGACGCGCGTGTCGTCTACAAAAGACCCGTCAGTTACGTTCGAATAAAAAAAGTGAAACAGGCTAATTAAAGTACGAAGTTGATGAACATTGAAAACCCAAAATTTCTAAAAGGTTTGACAACAAAGCTAAGGCAATCTATTCCACTTATCTATTTTGTGCGGGTCCGTACTGCAACTTTTGTAGACAACTATTTCTTGCTTTTTGTTTGGTAAAATATTCATTTTCTACTCGTTTTAGGCAAGGTTATTCTTTTTTCAGTTCGTAACAGGATAGCATATTAATTTCCAAAAAGAAAAGAAGGTAAAGTCACTATGTACAAATCTAAATTGTAAAGGGGCGGTCATTCAGTTAAAATTAGAGAACAGGTTCGGAACTTTGCCGTAAGGACTTGCCGAGGAGTACCGAAATAATGTGTGGTTCATATGAAAAGTACATTAAGGGGCAAATTGAACCCCTGTGGTGGCCCTTTACGTACTTTCCATACTATCCACACATTCGGTACTCCTCGGCATATCCCTACGGCAAAATTCCGAACTGAACCTAGCCTCTTTCAAAAGTATTGACCCAGGCTATTCCCCACTTAAATGTTTTTCTGGGATCCGGGCCACCACAGCTCTAGTTATATGTCAAGTATTTGAACTGGCACATTTGACAAGGAAATTTCAGTTTTAAATTCAGAATTGGTAATGTTGCATGCCGTACAAAATAGTCCACGTAGGATTTTTATAGAAAATTCTTGTTCACATTAAAAAAGGGATTAACATTACATGTATATCGAAATGTTTTCATTTCATATATACAGAAATAGATAATGAAAATGGTTTCAACTGAAATAGTGGATATTTGAGGACGCCGAGTGTATGGAAAGCATGTATGTAATGTTTCTATCGTACATTGCATCTTTTTTATTCAGTTCAAATTGGTTGGAATTACGTATATAACACGATTCCTCACAACTTACTTATTAACAATGGTAGTTGTACTTTGCTTTTTTTATTTTCTATTCCTACATTGTTTCTGTACCTCCTTTTTATAAGAAATCAAAAAACGAGAAAAAGAACGGAAACAAAACGATTTTAAATTGTACAATTTTTTTTATCAAACAAACAGTGTCCTTCGAAAAAAGGGGCTGCTTTCATCATTGGTAGAGTTATCACGACAAGCCGTGAAAATGTCGAATTCCGCAGTCAAATTATATTTAACTAAGATTTTGAGATTTTTGGAACGTTTGAGTCGTATACAGTTTTTTGGTTTTTAGACATATCATTAAAATTGGCTGCTGGAAAAAAGTGGTTGCTATCTTGATTGGCTGCCAAAAGTGGCTGTCAGCTTGAGTAAGGTTTGTAAAAACAACGTTATGAGCGAGCGTAGCGGATGAACGTTTGCCCGATCAGACCCAGCCAATGGATGGCCACAATGGGTTAATGGTTGGTCATATCTAAACACTTATTGGTTTGATAATATGTAGTTCCTTTTTTGGATGGAAGAGGTGCTTGTAAACTTAAATTTTAATACTGCTGAATTTGTGAAATAATCGTGTTTGCAGTAACTGCTTATCATCAAACTTTTTGTTTGGTAAGTTTTTCTTCGTAATGACATTAACATGAAAATTGCAAAACCATTTCGTCGTTTGAACTAGGAGGCTAGGACGTAAAATTTGTCATGTAAATTCGAGTGTAAGTAATTTTGATAATAACGTTTCAAAGATCGAATATACATGCTTAAAACTTACAGCAGTGAAGAATGATCGAAAATGATTTATATAAAGTAAAATAAAATTTCTTAACAGTCTTACCAGATAATTAAGATTGTTTATCCTCACAGAACGAATGTCGTCAAAGCTGTCTGCTGTGCTTGTGCTAACCTGTGTGTTATGGTTAGAGGATACTAATGCCATGAAGGGTAAGTCCTCCTTATGACGTTTGCTAAAACAGTTTATCAGGACATTGCCTTCCCGAGTTTTGCAAGCACTGGCATCGTTTCCTGGGCTATCCATACAAACTTTTTATAGTAACCTCTATATTTTTCAATACATGTATATAAGTAAAAACTTCAATCTCGAATATATCTGGCAAAATTATTTGATATTCATTTTATTTTTAACATGTATCTGAGTCCTTTTCCTCGTTTCCTAGTTCAATCCTATAATAGTTAAATGTCACTGTTTTACCCTTTTCATTTCTCATTCAAAACTTTTAAAATAGTAAACTGTTGACACACAGGCATGTCTCGCCCATATGTACTTATAAAGTTAAATGCACTTTTTTTAAATTAAAATGACAATACTTAAACATGTAAACTATGCAAATTATTCGAAGTCATTGAACCATAACCATAAAGGTTCAGGGTCAAATTATCTCCATGCCCATGGAAATGAGATGAGCTAATGCTAATACAACTGCATACCAAATATCATAACTTACCACAACTTCAAGTTGTTCATTTTAAATAGACCAATTAATAATTTTTGACATTTAAATTAAGCAAAATTGTTATCATATTAGTGGTCATCAAAGTATTGACCAGTGTGGTCTTTTTTCTGTATTTTAGATTTATTAGGGGACTAAAGCTTTACTTCGCAAATATCAAAAGATTAATAGGACATGCTGTTAGGATTTTCAATAACACAATGATAAACCATGACAAAAAGTAATATGTGGTCCGTTCTAGTATGTTATATAACTTATATTATCATGTGTAACTTCTCGCCTTTCTTGGTAGGCACATTTTGCAACACCTACCGTTATGGTATATTTTGTTTTTGTCCTGAATATGGAAGAAATATTTGTCACTGGACACAACAGTCAATCAATCTAATGATATAATATCATTAACAATAGGTATTGTAGTGCGAAACGTAAGATAAACACGTTATTATATTTTTTTTCGTCATATCTAAAATCACACACATGGTACTTTAGGGTAACACTCTGGTTACTACGGAGGGTACATCCTTGGTTAGTCCAACTGACGGTTGGTAGTTGATATTGACTGATTGATTGTCGGGCTTAACGCCACTTTCAGCTTTCTTCGCTATATCGTTGCGGCCAATTTTTATTGATGGAAACCGGACAGAACAATCGACTTTCGACAGGGAAACTGGCAATCCTAGTCAATTAAGAAAGGAGTCGAACCCACCTGCCACGAGTGAGGTTCGATCTCATAAACTCGGTGATGACAGACTAGTTATAATAGAAGATAAACTACTTATACCAGTTGGCAGCGGAGGCCCCGGTAGTTGACAGAGTAGTTATCATAGCAGATAAACTACTTATACCACTTGCTCACCGAGGCCCCGGTAGTTGACAATGCATCAGTATGGGATGTTTAAAAAAAAAGTCATTACAAACAATTATATTATGTTTGTTTTTTTTTTCATAAAATTGATAAAATGTTAATGTTTAGAAAGGACTGTACATGTCAAGGAAGACGGAGCCATAACAAAGGTCTGGAAAGATTACGACAAATATGCATACCCTGGAACAACTGAACATCCAATAATGAAAGTCACAAATGGTCTGAATCTCGAAAAGATGGACTATGATAGCATGGTGTGTGCGTCTAGAAACCGTTAAATTAGTATTTAATCAATTTCAGTCAATGACGACCACGTAATTTTGTTTCACTGAAAACAAAGGCTTATGTTTTTCTTTATTATTTCTTTTTTTTGTTGAATTTTGTTTTGGTTTCAGGTTTTTATGGCCCGCTTATGATAGCAGGTGGCATAATATTTTCTATTCTGTGTGTCCGTTAAACCCGTATCAGGTTAAATATTTTTGTCAAGGTTGTTTACCAGGAAGTTGTAGTCAAATCAACTTGAAAATTAGTAAAATTGAGAATGGAAATGGAGAATGTGTCAAAGAGACAACACCCCGACCAAAGTGCAGAAAACAGCCCAAGGCCACCAATAAACATCTTTATTATGGTATTAAATTTTAAAACTGTATGCCAAATTACGGTTCGACCCCATTTTTAAGAGTTCACTGAACATGGAAATGTGAAAGTTGGATTAAGTATTTTTGTCAGGTTAAAGTATTTCGTTTACCATGAAGAACATAAAACTTAATATACAAAAAGTCATGTTAGTTGTGATATTGACCTTGTAAAGTATAAGCGAAATAACAGTTAAGATCCCAATGTCATGGTTCACAGAACAAGCAAAATGATAATGAAAGTGGGGCATGGTGTCATATGGACACTTATTCTTGACTGATATTTCATAACTCAAATATTTTTTTCTAGCATTTCGTTTTTTAAGGAGTTTGTGGATCTCATTTAAGTAAGTTCGCAACGTAGATCGCAGGAAGAAAAAAAATAATGGCGAGAATTTTTGTTTTCAACATGTTTATTACAGTATTACAATAAAAAGTTTTCTAGCAAAATAGTATATATGTTAAATATTTTGTCGAAGTCAGATGATATTGTTTTTTGAAAATCGGTACAGTCATTACTCGCACAACATTATAATTGTCAATCAGAGATATCTGATCTCTAATCAAGAACGTTTGATAGGATTTGATGGAACTGTTTTTCGCGCGGGGGTAACCGTTATTTTCGCTTACTTCGCGATTAGGTCAAGTGCGCGAATGGTTTGTAGAAAGCAACATCGTTGATGTGAAGTGCGAATTTACAGTTGATACGCGAATTTGACCCCCGTGCGAGTTTAAGCATTGATATCGAGAATATAACAACCCGAAAAAATAATCAACGTTTACATATCTGCATGTCTTTTGCAGACGTCCATTGTCTATTGAGATTTGGTCAGAGCTGAAATGGTATGACCCTAGATTGACTTGGAATGGAACACCAGCAAGAATAAGACTCCCAATGTCTGTCATATGGACATCAGATATATTTCAATACAGACAGTAAGTAGTTTAAGCACCTGTACAGTCGGTTGTGAGGGTCTGGATGGGGGATTCTCGGTAGGCAAAATTTCTGTCCCTATCCGATATACTCTTATTTTCCAGTGGCATTCAAAATTTCCCCGACCTTCATCCCGGATGGCCTCTATTACAGGATCTACCAATTGCATGTATCGGTAATTTGTTCTCGTCCAGAATATACATGAAATATTTACTACTGGACGTTAAGCAACCAACAACAAATCAATCAATCAAAGGAAACTCAAGTAAACATTCGGTAAACTTTTTTCTGTTCCTAGCAAGTTACGTTGACCCCAAAATATTTAGACTTCTTTCCCTTCCCAATATCTTAAGGTTTTCCTTCGGAAACCATTTATTTCAGACACACGGAAGGAAGGACGGACAAAGCGATTACTATGTGCTGCCGAAAAACAAATAATTCGGAGAGCGTTAAAAGGAAATGCAGGTTTATTGCATATCTACGAGAAACGAGAAACCAAAAGGACGTGAATGTATGCAAATGGCTTCAACAATAAGCAAAATCAATACCGTATTGTAAAGGGGACGACCATTTGATTTTTTTAAAAAGGGAGAAGGCAGGAAGACAGGAAGGTGGAAAGGTTATATTTCCAGGGCCATAGGGATAATGAAAGCTTTTTTTATAATAATCTCCACTTTCTAACACTGACCCAAAATCTACACACACAGTCAACTGAAGTACTTTCGTTATAATATTCAGACGTAAATGTGAATATGACCGTCTTCGTATTCTGCTATCTTTATAAACCTAGTGCTTTGCGGCCTTTTATCATTAAGTGAATACAAAAACTCTCAAAAATTCATTTTCACCTGTATGTAAAATTATTTTATATTTTCTACACCTGATTCATCCCTCAGCTTGGAAAAATGTGTTCGGTATATGCTGTATTTTTCATCCAAACACAGTGTTCAGATATATTGACATAAGTGGGGTACACAAAAGAGCAACCTAGTTCCAAGAAAGTAAATAATACCGTTCCACCTTTTGCTACTTCACGTGTATTTGGAATCACATGACAGTTGACGCATGCTGATCGCTAAATTCTTACCCTGTTCGAGCGCCATTTTGAAAGTTTTTCATTGTTAATTTTGTAGTATATTTTTAGCAAAACTTCTTGACCGACACTAGTATGTTAACACTGTTGATCTTTTTTTGCAGTCCAAATACAAAGCCATTATACAACCGAAATGTTGTTGTAAGTCGGAATGGAGACGTTGTTTTGGTTTCTGATGCAAAGTATGAAACTGAAAACTGCAAGCAGAAGAATGACGATGTTATCGAATGTAAATTTAAATTTGGATCCTGGACGTACGGTGCACATGAAACCGATTTACAAGCCATCAGTCCTCGCGTGCTGCTGGAAACCTACACGGAAAACGCCCAGTACGAAATAGTCGGATCGAGTGTTGTTCGAGAGGCAAGGAAGTACGACTGTTGTCCAGAAACATACGACGATATAGTCTATACCATACAGATTAAACGTCATTAGAAAATTAGATGTGTGATATGTACTCAACGATTTCGTACTATGAACTTTGAAGCCGCACACGTATATATCATGCTGCTTTGTAGATAACGCGACTTTTTTTATATTTTAATTGAAGAAAAATCTTAACTGTTTCGTATTTTTGTTACAAAAATAAAGACCAATATTTTCATATGCATGAAGACGCATTTTTATTAATGGGCGCAAAAGTAAAAATGTGCATATTCATTTTTTTTTCTTCAAGGACATTATATAATTGTAAAAATTCACTGTATTTTAAACCAAAATTGAATAACATATTTGTTGCCTTGGCAGCCGATCTTGGTTTTAACATTTCGCCTCTGACTCGTGTTATTGATCTTTCTAAATAATTGCTTTCTAAATAGACTGCACGTCACTCATTTTGACTTTGTATTAGACATTTGCTATCATGTTTATAATAAATATAATTAACTTGATTTGAAGATTGCTCTTTTCTTGTTTACCAGGTTTGTAGTCAGGAGGGTCTGGGTGGGGTTTACAGAATTGAGAATAATGCGCCAATACTATAGAAAAAGGGCCAAATAAATAAAGAAAAGAGAAAAAAAGGCCAAAAATAGAATACAGAATAATGAGGTGCTAAAATATGAATAATAGATAATAATGGGCAAAATTTATAAAGAATAGAGAAAAATGGCAAATTAAATAAAGAATACAGAATTAAGGACCCTCATCCAGACCCTTAGTAAGGTAAAGGCAGGATGAAAGGAGATGCAGGGCGTACGTCAATAATACAGCAATCTAGCATCAAAAATCAGAAATACATTTCTTTTACACTGATAATTGTATTACTTTTCATAAACATGCAATTTTAATGTGCGTATTGTTATGCGTTTACTTTTCTACATTGGCTAGAGGTATAGGGGGAGGGTTGAGATCTCATAAACATGTTTAACCCCGCCGAATTTTTGCACCTGTCCCAAGTCAGGAGCCTCTAGCCTTTGTTAGTCTTGTATTATTTTTAATTTTAGTTTCTTGTGTACAATTTGGAGTTTAGTATGGCGTTCATTATCACTGAACTAGTATATATATTTGTTTAGGGGCCAGCTGAAGGACGCCTCCGGGTGCGGGAATTTCTCGCTGCATTGAAGACCTGTTGGTGACCTTCTGCTGTTGTCTGTTCTATGGTCGGGTTGTTGTCTCTTTGACACATTCCCCATTTCCATTCTCAATTTTAAATAATATTCTTGACAGCTCGTGTGGTTTTACTAATTCAATCATGGGGTAAATTTAATATCTTTCATTTCCTAGAATGTATTATCAAAAGTTTTGGGTCCATAATGGTGTAACTGGTTAAGGAACACAGTTGGAAGTATTTGAACATCTATGATTTTCCTTACTGTAAAGAAGGAGTGGGACTATATCGCAATCAGCGTGTCCGTCCTTATTTTCGTCTCTTTTTTTTCTCTCAAAAAGTACTAAACAAATATCTTTATATTTGGATATTATATATTGAATATATTCTTTCTAATAAATATTTAGTAGCTGTATAGTGACGAAATGTAACGTGCGAATATTTTTGATCAGTCAGATACTTACTTTCTTATTGCATATACTCTGAAATTCAATATTTCAATATGTTGAATGAACTTACATTTTTTCGTCAAACATTTTTCCAATACCACTAAACAAAATGATTTTAAATTTAATCATCTGCTCAAAAGTGATGAGTTGAAACTAGTCTACGCTTTTTGGATATGTGTCGGACATTAGCTTTTTGTTTCTTTATCGCACTCTCTGTGCTGGCGTAAACTATGACCAATGAGGTCTTTATATGACGTTTCTTGTTACCCGGCCCCTGATATATTACAAGGGAAAACGCAAATAATCAATAGAGGAATGACAAAATCTGTCATAACTAAAAGAGAAAAACGAAAGTTTTTAGTTTTAAATGAAGAGATACAAACAATCAAACAAAACAAGAAAGGGATTAAAACACTACATAAAAACTTTACTGGGAGTCTCATTTAAAAAGTAAAAAATAAATTTTAATTATAAGAAAAAATTGCATAAGCA